TGTAATAATTAGAAAACATCTTCCTAAATCAATCCCTATAATTAAGGGACTAACTATTTTAATCCCATATTTAAGGGATTATACTCTTCCACAATCCTAGGAATACATATTCACACATTCCTATTTTTACACAACTACCAAATATAGATGCTAACTACCAAATATGCATCTACACCATTAACCCCATGTTTTCCAACAATAACCATAACAGATTATGGTAAGGCACTATTACAAGACTACGGTAGTTTTTCTCACAAGGGAGCTGGATGCAAAAGTGTATTGGTCTAGGAGGTCAGCAAATGCTTTAGCTGACTACCTAGCAAAACAAGGGGTGAATCGGGAGTTTTTGTTTTGTGCAGTGTCGTAAGCTTTTTGTTATTCAGGGGTCACCTTTTACTTTGGAAGGTGACAGTTGTTTCTTATGGTTTTATCTAATGAAAGTTACCGTTTCCTATCAAAAAAAAAAAAAAAGACTACAGTAGTTTTTCTCCCCCTTCATTCAACACTACCTGTAATTAATCACAAAATATTCTAGGAGAGAAGAAAGGAAGAGAGGAGAAGGGAAGGAGACAACGAACAGAATGAAGGAAAATTGAATGGTTTAGTGGCGGCTCCCACTTCACATTAATATAATAATAATAAAATAAATAATTAAAGAGTGGTCCTTGGAAGAAAGAAAATGACAAGAAACCCCCTGTGCCTGAAATATTCATAAAAACACCCCTTACAACACTCCCCTTATGTTGGGTTGTAGATATCATGCATACCCAACTTTTGATACATAACTTTTCATGGCGCAGGGTATTCAGTCCTTTTGTAAGGACATCCACCACTTGTTCCCTTGGTTCAACAAAAGGTATACAAATTTCACCCCTTTCCCCTTTTTCACAAATGAAGTGCTTGTGAATCTCAATGTGTTTGGTCCACTCATTGAGAACTGGATTATGAGTAATACAGATAGTGGCCTTGTTATCACAATACAATGACATAGGATCTGAATTCCATATACCCAACTCATTTAGGAGGTTTTTCAACCACAACAATTTTGCAACTCCTTGAGACATAGCTCTATACTCAGATTCTGCACTTGACTTTGTCATCACAGACTGTTTCTTACTTCTCCAAGTGACTAAATTTCCTCCTACAAAAGTGCAGTAACCAGTAGTAAACCTATCATCAATAGAACCTGCCCAGTCAATGTTAGTATAGCCTTTTACTTTGTGTGACCATGCTTGGTAAAGAGGAGGCCCCTTCCTGGGTGCTTCTTTAAGTAAGCTAGAACCCTCTCAACAACCTTGAAGTGAGTAGGTCTAGGTGAGTGCATACACTGGCTCAGAACACTCACTACCAAGGCAATATCCTGCGAAGGCATGAAAAGGTATAACATCCTCCCAATGAGTCTTTGATATTGATGAACATCTAGAACTGTCTAACTCTCACAATTTCCAGGTTTATGACTTGGATCCACAGGAGTATCGATTAGTTTACACTCTAGTTTCCATGTATCCTTTAACAGATCAAGGATATACCTTGGGAGATAAAATACCCTTGTCAGACCGAGCTACTTTAATACCAAGGAAAATATTTCATAGGTCCAAGATCTTTTACTTCAAATTGTGAAGCAAAAAATTTCTTCAACTCTTGAATTTCTTCCTCCCAATTTCCTGTAATCACAATATCATCCACATATACAATCAGAATAGCAACCAGCTCACCTCTTCCTTTTACAATGTATTATCAGCTTGGCACTGTACAAAACCAATTTGTTGGACAATACTATTGAACCTCTCAAACCATGCCCTGGGGATTGCTTCAAGCCATATAAGGATTTCTTCAAACGACATACTTTATCCTCACTACCCTTTACCTGAAATCCAGGAGGCTGAACCGTATATACTTTCTCATTGAGATCACCATTCAAGAACGTATTCTTTACATCCAATTGACGAAGATGCAAAGAGAAATGACCTAGATATTTAGGGGATAGTTCTTATACTAGAAAAATGGGCCATACATTTATGATCATGTAACTGAATTAATTTTGGATTTCAAGATCCACCTAATGAGACCACCAAAGCATAATTGTGAGGGCGACGCGTAGGCAACAAGGTGCCCTTGGAGGCTTGCCTTGCCTAATCGCCAAGCAGTTTTCTATAGTGTGTTATAAAAAACTTTTATATTCTTAATTTTTTTAGGTTATAATTATAAAATAGACAATTTTAAACTAAATTATTCATTTTGTGTGTTTATATACTAATTTCTTTTTATTATTTTCTTATTTGTTAGGGTTTAAACAACACAAACATTGCTAAATGCTATATTGAACCCTCAAAGACTTCAAAACCTGAACCAATAAGTAAGGAAGAACATAAAATGCTGTCCAATCAACACATTTTCTTCTTTTCTTTTCTTTTCTTTTCTTTTCTTCTTTTCCTGTAACAGAAATAGCGGTTCAGCCCCTATATTTTTTGAATTTTCTTTTCTTTCTTCTTTTTCCTCTCGTGAATATGTTGGAATATGTTGATTTTCTGTACTTCAACATGAAGTTTATACTTTTCTTATGAAAATAATGGATATTTATTAAGGAAATATGATTATGGAACCTAGGGAACTACCCAAGGATACATGTTTTTACTTAAAAAAATCCACCGCCTAGGCGCCCCCTGTCGCCTAGCCTCGCCTTGGCGCCTTGAAAACTATGCATAAAAGGTAACTCCCTCCCTCTCCTCCATTTCTGTGTATCATACATGTGGAAGCTTCTTCCTTCCCTGCCTTTTGTGAATATATATCCACATTTAAAAAAAAGACTCCCCTCAAGTATTGTGAATTGTCATTTGTTCTTCCTCTGTCATGTAACAAATGCAGGTTGGAGCAACACCAGACTTAATGGTTGCATATATTGATTTCTTCCTTGGTGGTGATGAGAGACGATTAGATGCAGCCTCCAGCATACAGAAGAGATTCCCTATGTGCATTATTTTTGGTGGGGATGGTAGCTACATGTCACCATACAATCTTCATAGTGATATGTTGTTGTCTAATCTTCTCAGTCAGGTATTAATCTTGCTTTTCTTCTATTTCGTAGGTATTAGTAATATCAATTAAATAAATCACCTCACATGTAGAAAATATTTTACCAGCACATCCCTACAGAAATCTGGAATCGCTTTGTTGCTGGTTTGAATGCTCAGTTGAGGACGGTGAGACAGGGATCAATCCGTTCTGCTCTACTTCCCGTTATGAATTGGATAAATAGCCATGGAAATCTCCAACTTGAGTTCCACGGTGTTAGAATCGAGTTGGGATGGTTCCAGGCCACTGCTTCTGGTTATTACCAGCTGGGTATCTTGGTAGCGGTTGGTACTTATTCTCTCCACAACATTAGCCAGTCTGATTCATTGGATACCAGTTATGGTGACCGTCAAAGGTACTTATGAATCGTGCCATTAAGATTTTTCAAAGTAGAGAACTTAGACATGGTTTATTATACAGTTCTTATAGCATCTTATTCCTTTTTATTCATAAGCTCTTAATATACTGTATTGTTTTGGGCAGAAAAAGTTGCCTGGAATTGTTGCTATAACTATACATCTGTTCCCAAAGACAAGATGTAACAAGAATTTCAAACTTTTTTTTAATCCCCAAAATTTACTCTTGGTGGAGGAGTGGCCACTGTGGATTTTATTAATATAATCTAAGTGGGAAAAACCTAGGAGGGGGGGGGGACATAAAAACCTTACCCTTCAAAGAAGCTATACAAAGGGCCATCAGATCATATAAATAAAGGCATCTGATGCACCGTAAATTATCTAAGTCTAAAAAAGGGTAAACCAAAATCATCATTACTTAAAAGACACTGAATGCTGGAAGGTAAAACAAGAATTTTGAACTTGGACTAGGAAGAAAAGAAAAAAAATAGAAAAAGGGCATTGCTATTTTAATATTAAGTATCATCAACAGAGACAGAAGACTTGATCTTAATTTTTGGCTTTTTATCTAGAGAGAATCTCATTATTATTTATTGACGACTTGGCAAATAAAATAATATTTAATAGTTTTTTTTTGCTGAGCTCATTACATTTGAACAGATGTATGATAAAGAGATTGAGACATTGGCAAGGGATGGGAGCTCACCTTCTTGCTTGAAGGGTTTGAATTGAAGGGGTGACATCTCCCTTGCAGGTGAAGGTAACTCTCAACATGCAAGAAAAGAAGGGGATGGATCAGAGTCATAGATATGCTGCCCTTACTAAATTCTTCTTTTTAAGGTGGATCTCTAGGGGCTAGGAGCTAATTGAGAACTCAGTTGAGATAAGTTTTTTAGCCCATTGGAGGAGCACAGAAGGGGGTTTTAACCAGTTGGAGGATAGCACTTTTCAGACCTCTGAAGTCTGAAAATGTTGCTTTTTAGGTGCCACCTATGTTTGGGTTGGGTCTGATTAGCAGATCTGAAACCCAATTTCAGATCTAAATAGAAAAGAGCCTCCCTAGGTTCTTAACGCACTAAGAGGCATTTCAGACGTGGGCGAAAGACAAAAGAGCCCCCATAGAAATTTGAAATGACCTGTAATGCCCTTCATATAAGCCAAAAATTTAGGCCATTCGACTCCTCCACTCGACGGCGTGGCGCAAGCTTCTCTCTCTCTCCCCCTCTCTACATCCTCTGCTTTACAGACCTGCAGATCCATCCGAAGAGAATGCCGATGCTGCTCCCGGTGATGCTACATTTCAGATCTTCTTCTTCTTTCCCGCCATCGCCGCTGCAACTCTCAGTAACAGTGGCGGTTCTTTCCAATTTTATTCTTATTTTAATAAATTATTTTTTATTTTTTATAAATATTTGTATTAATTATTGATTATTAATTTTTATTAATTATTAAATATTTGAATAGTTTTAAGATATTAATTTGATAATTATTAATTTTTTATTGCTTCATGGTCTTTATTACTATTTTCATTATTATTTTAACTCAATAATTTATTTTTAATTTATAAATTGATATATATTTTTCAATTTTCTTCTTATTTTAATAATTTTTTTATTTTTTATAATTTATTCATATTTTTCAATATTATTTTTAATTTAATAAATTGTTTTTATGAAATAATGCAAATTGAACTCAAAATTACCAAATTGTCATTTTAGGGGTAAAATGGTAAAATCAATGGATTTCAGATTCTGAAGGTTTGATCCAACACAAAAACCTTCTTTATCAGAGCCTCTAAAAAGTCGAAAAGCAACTATGTCTCTTTTCAGATTTCAGACACTTTTAATATCTTTTTAACTTTTCAGATTTATCAAACGCCACCTAAGAGATCCACTTTTTAGGGCTGGAATATAATTGGAATTTTTTTGGGGATCTCATAGGGAAAGGTGGTGGATTAAGGGTATAGCTTCAGTACTGGATTGTTTGCAAACACACTAATTTCAAAATCTTTATTTGTTTCTAGTTAATGACCTTGTTATGAGTATGGGACAACTAAACATGCATATTTTGTTTGGGCTTATCCTGGGTGGAGGAGGATAACAACCACTTGTTTACATTGCCCTGTTTCTGCTGCAATCTGGGGGCATTTTATTTCTTCCTTGGGTGTATCATGGGTCTTGCCAAATGCTGTGTTGGACCTGTTATTGGTGCCGGGAGCTCCAAGGCCTGTCCAAGCTGGCAAAAAGTCAGTTCCTGCAGTGGTGATTAGTACCATCTGGGCAGAAAGAAATAGAATTTTCCAAAACAGATCAAAGGATGTAGATTGTCTAATTTCCTGTACCTTTGGAAAATTAGTTTCTTGGACTGCAGCTGCAAAAGGTCTCCAGACCAGGGTGTTTGGAGCCCAGCTGAGGATCTAGAAGCCTGTTTGAGTTGTAATATAGTTTGGGGTTCTAGCCCCTGTTTATGACACCTATAGTAGGGCCCCTCTGTAATCTTATTCTGATTCTAATAAAATTACTTTACCTTTCGTCAAAAAAAAAATCATGCATATTTTGTTTGGGACCCACTATTAGGAATAGGCAATGTTTTTAATCTGATTTAGGAGGCCAAATTAGGTTGATTTGTAATTAAACAACCCACTTTATCTAGAATAATAGGACCAACACCAATCTAATGTCTGGAGTCTTTGTGGTGGGATTTTTTATTGGAATTGAGAAACTAAATTAGATTTGATTTGCTGTTAAAGTATATGAGATAAGTTTCTAATTTGAATTAGAAAAATCAACTTTGAAGTTAGTGTCGGACTTAGACCGCCTTAAATATATTTGTTTTGAATTAAATTTTGGGAAAATTCCCAATTAGTACCCTGTACTTTGGGCCTAGTGCCACTTTGGTCCCCAAACTTTAAAATGCGACAATTCAGTACCCGAACTTTCAAAACGTGACAATCCAGTACCTACCGTTAACTAGCTGTTAACCAGCTGTTAACCAGCTGTTAAGTGGCATTTGAAAAAGGCACAGATGCCCTTCAAGTGTCATTTAATTTTGTTTATCAACCATCTAAATGTTGGCAAAAAATTAACAGTCCCAAATCCTTGCCTCTTCCGTTCAAGAAAGTTGGGGTCTCATTTGAGTGGGCATTTTGGTGACCCCAACTTTCTTGAACAGAAGAGGCAATGATTTGGACTGTTAATTTTTTGTCAATGTTTGGATGGTTGATAAAGAAAATTAGATGACACTCAAAGGGCATTTGTGTCTTTTTCAAATGCCACATAATGGCTGGTTAACAGTAAGTTAACGGCAGGTACTGGATTGTCATGCTTTGAAAGTTTGGGTACTGAATTGTCACATTTTAAAATTTGGGGACCAAAGTGGAACTAGGCCGAAAGTACAGGGTACTAATCGCAAATTTTCCCTTAAATTTTTTTATCCCCTGATTCCTGAGTGGGTGGCCTGACAATGTCTTTGAAGGGGAAACCCTCCTATTTGTGAACTTTGCTTTAATACACACACGTATAGGTAATGAATAAGTGATGTTACAATTATGTTAAAATAAAAGTTTGAGAAAAAAACTTTTTACTCTACCACTTCTATGGCCCATATTACTTGGAACCAGTGCATATCATTGGGATCTTCAAGATTAGTTTATTGATCTTGAGACATGGGTTCAATCAATGGTCTAGATCTTGGCTAGAAGATCATAAATAGAAATATCCATGTGCATTATTAAATATTTCTGAAATTCTGAAATGCCCTTGTCTTGTTTTAGAGAACAATACTGTCACCTTGTCTGATGGTTTTAGTGACAAAAGGTATCATTTGTCATGATATGAAAGTACAAGGAGCTAAGTTTCACCAAAAACATTACTAGGTGGTCCCTGTAATTTACCCTACCATTAATAATAGATAAGAGAACTGCATTGAGTACAAATGGATACTTTGTCCTAATTTTACAAAATTTATGATTCAAGAATTAGATTTTAGGGAGATGAAAGGTGTGGCATTGGAAATATTTGTAAGATCTCTTCTAAACTGTATGCTCATAGTTTTAATATACAGGTTGAATGGCAGAAGGAATATGCTAATCTATTAAGCAAATTGGAGTCATCCAGCTTCTTTGATCCAGATGCAAGATGGTGGAAAGAATGCATCAGAAGATGCTTTTAATTAAGTTAAGCCTTTTTTATGATGTAGTTGTATGAGTCCAAGTGGAGCATTCACAAAGGGCTTTTTTGGGTAGTTCATTCCCATCAAAGGTGGAGGTAGATCCATGGCTGCTTTGTATGGTATTCTGGCCATCAATTCATAGATTAGTGGCCTTTGTACAAACCAACACATGTTTTATGTCCATCAACCATTTAGAAGATGACCCGGGTTTATTCTTCTTTTAACCCTAAAATTCTCCTAGAGGGGAGTAGATGTTCAAGACTGACAGTCTTGAACCCTAATAGATTTCAGGTTTGTAAATAGAAGAAAAAGTATAGAGAAGAGAGGAGAAAGAGAAGAGAGAGCAGTAGAACACAAGAGTTGAAAGGAGGGACAGAATCTTAATGTTCTGCCGCCGCCACTTTAT